CGCCTGTGGGAGCTCGTCATGGCGAGGACCACGGAGCTCGTCGTCTTCCTGGCCGGCCTGCTCCTCTCCGCGGCCGCCGAGGAAGCCGAGACGTACGCTCTTACACCCGCCGCCGGAGACGACGTACGGACACACCGGCGGTGGCTCCGCGTCGCCGCAGTGGTCGTGTGCCCCCCGCCGTGCTCGGCGCCCTCGCGCTCCACTGCCTCCGCCTCGCCTGCTGCTGCTGCTGCGGCGGCGCCGCCGCCGGCGAGAAGTGTAAAATGGACCTACGTACGTGTACGGTGTACGTGTACACCCCGTATATACGTACTCGGATACTCCTGTACGCCATACGGTAACGGTAGTATATACTCCCTCCGTAGTCGTAAAGGAAGTTTTTGACAGTGACACGGTCTCCAAAATATAACTTTAACTTCTTGTTTCTATAAAAATATTTATTTAAAAGTGATATATGTATACTTTTATAAAATTATTTTTTAAGACAAATCTATTCATATAATTTTTACATTTTCAAACTCAACAACTTTAGAGTTATTCATGATTTATATTCCCAATGTTTGATTTAAACATTATACTAAACAACTTTCTTTACGTTTCTTTACGAGTATATAAATAAGGGAGTATATACAAATGTTTTCCTAGTACTACTTACTAGCATATACGTACGCCATGGCCCATGGATGATATTTGCCGAACGTGTACGCATATTTACTTCCGTCCGTACGCTCGGAAATGTAATGTGAATTTTGACTGTCTAATTTTGAACCTTATAACTGACTATCTCAAATAATGTTTAGGTTTCTTTTTGCCATAAATAATGATATTGTTGGATTCATGTTCAAAAGTGCTTTCTAATGACTATACGATTTTCCAACCGTAAGCAAAATAGTGCAAGACTATAGTCAAACTTGCTTATTTAACGGTTAATTAAAATACGTCATATATATATTTTGAACGGACGGGGTACAATATATTCTTCTATTACAATATTCCAAAATTATATGCTGTTTGGCTGCAGCTACTTGCATGTTGAAATTAAGCTAGCCACTTTGCTTGCCACCAGGAAAAGGTATCGATGTCGTCTAGGCTGTGTTCGGCAGATGATTTCCGAACTGGTAATAATATATTTTTTTAAAAAAAAATTCATGAAAAGTTGTTTTAAAAAATCAAATGATTAATTTTTAAAATTTAAAATAGTTAATACCCAATTAATCATACGGTAATGACTTATCTCGTTAAAACGAATCTTCCTAATCTTCCCTTTTCCTTTCCTTTGCTGTACATAACGATCGAAACAACAAGACGAGGCATGAGAAATGGGATAGAAACTTCCTCATGATAGTAACTGTCAAGGTCATCGTTAGTGTTACTGTTCTAGCTAATTGCAAATAATAAGATTATCATTGGTTGATGTGAGGTTTTTCTTAGGTGAAGGCCGAGATCATCGGTAAGATTACACATTGAATTTGTGGATAACAATGGGGTATTAGTTGATAATCCCTCCATATATACGGTACTACTTATATCATATACCGATATGTGACTAAATTCTATAAAAACAATATGCAAACTTTATTTTTATTAATAGCGATAAAATTTGATATTAATAGTTACGAATTCTCATCTAAAATCCATCCAAACTTTTCAATAATTCTTAATTTTACAAGCTGTATGGAGTCTTAATTTTATTTCCCCCCATTGCCTCGTTGTACCACACACCTCGCTGCTCTACTGATCACTCGAACAGTCGAACTCTATGTATTACTGAAATGTGAATTAAAGCCTCCGTTGGAATTGAGAATTTTTTTAATGAATTTCATGGGAATTAAATTGATTCATACAAAAAAAACGAAAAATTCTACCATCCAAAGAAGTCCTAAGGGTTTCTTATTTGAAACATGTATATTTTTATAGAATTTTCACCATCCGTACTAACATTAAGCTTCAAATTCTTATAAGATTGTACCAAATGCATGAGCGGTGGTATGTACGGGTACGCTCTCAGGCTGGTTGGGTGGTTGTGTGGGCTTCACTGCTAGTATGTTTTATTACTGATTAACTAAAATACTTTAAAAAAAAATATTAGCGAAGTCCGATAAGTACTCACTCCATTTGAAATTATAAGTCGTTTTGATTTTGATCAAAATCAAATTGCTTCTCACTTCGCGCGGGCGACGGCGCCCCTCTCTCCTCACTTCGCGCGGGCGACGGCTCCGGCCAGCGGCGCCCCTCCCTCCTCACTCCGCGTGCTGCAGCCGTCGTCGTCCAGCCGCGCTGCCGCTCCTCCGCGTGCCGTTGGTCGCGTCCGTTCTGCCTCCGCCCTCGTCCTCCCGCCGCCCCGGCCAAACCTCGCCTACCCACCATCGTCAGTAACATGTGGGATAGAGAGAGAAGAGATTAGTGAGAGAAGTGAAAGAGGTGATAGAGAGCAGAGGGATAGGAGAGCTGACGTGTGGCCCAAGGGCATTTTTGATATTTCACATGATTTCTCTCTCCTCTTCAACTGGAGTGAGGAGGTGCCGTCGGAGTGAGGAAGGAGGGGCGCCGTCGGCGGCAGGCGCCGCTGGCCGGAGCCATTGCCGTCCCGTTGTTGCGGCCGCTCCGCCCTCGCCCTCCTGCCGTCGCCACGACATTTGGGATAAAGAGAGAAGAGAAGGAGGGATAGAGAGAGAAGAGAGATAGGAGAGTTGACATGTGGGCCCAAGGGCATTTTTGACATTTCACACGATTTCTCTCTCCTCTCTAACCGTAAATTATTACTTTAATGCTTGCGGTGTTCACTAGCAAATATCCAACTTTTGGGAGTGTTTTCCCCCAAAAGTCACTTCGTGCGGTGTACTACAGCTAAAACCGTGAAGTCACGATGTCCTATAGCAAATTTTGCCTAGTCACGATATCCTGTAGCAATTTTGTCTAGACTTTATGTTCTTTGCATACTTTGTGATGCATCATCCCTAGCCGTGCTTAGAATCATATAATTGAAACTAACATGGAACTAATCATAACTAAGGATAGTATTGGGGTTTCAGTCCATCTTACCTGGTATATATGATAGCGCGAGTTTCATGATCTGTTTATTTATAATTGCCTCTTATATAGATAGATTGCTTTATATAAATACATCGAGTTAGATTGACCGCTTAAACTTCATATCTGGTGATCAATTGTTATTTGGTATATTTTTATAGATTAATCTGTTTATATAAGTCTGTATTGGAGTATTAGCCAGTACATTATCTTTCTTCGCTCTAAGTATTGATCTATCGGCTATTTCCATAATATTGTCTTAAAACGATTGATAAAAACTAAAAGAAACAGTCCTACAACCAATAGGGCATATTTAGGGTTTTGGCTCTAATTGACTATCATAAAGCCACAGCCAATTAGGTTTACCCGTATCGGTTGGGTCCTGACAATAAGTCATCGGCCCTATCGGCCGATTGGCTATCGTTCATCTAATTACGTTTTTGTCTTTCTTGCTGGTTGCAGGATAAAATCAGCCTACATGCTCTTGACACTTGAGACAAGCCTTGGACCTGCACTGGAGTGAAGCAAATCTCCTAAGCCGCCGTGTTTTCAGTCAACACACACGCGAAATCAATTTAGGGTTTGCCTCCTCCTCTATACAGTGTTGTCGCACATAGTTTATTCCATCCTGCTCGCCAGCGTGCACCAGTGATTGGGAGAGCAGGTCTCCGGAACCCTCGCCTTCGACGTACTGCATCGGGAGAAGGTGACAATAAGGTTTTTGGGAAGCGCTTTGCGCGACTGCTTGCTGTTCATCCACAATAGCTCGTCTTTCTCTTCGCTCGGGTGCTGCACGCTGTTGTCAACGCCCGGTACCGCGAGTCCTTCCCGCTGTGCAGCTGAGCTTCGAAAACCCTCAATACGTATTCGTTATGTTTCGCATATTCGATCTGTTCAAGGTTTACTGTCCAATTTATATGTGTAGATCGTATAATGCGATTATGCTAGTTTACATCTGCAATGTTATGATTTATTTATGGAATAAATTAAATTAATATATGCTTATATATTCAATAATTATATGACAATTAATATCAAATGGAGGGAGTATATGTCACAGGCATCACATAAACCGTGGTCGTAGGAGAATCGGATGTCGTGGTTGTGTGCATAGAATTTTTCTTCTTTTCCAATTGATGAGGATCGGATCCCTTAATTAGGCAGAACAATCCGCGTGTCAAAAGCTTTTGACGAGTATTGGCATGCAAGCCACGTCCATTCGAATTCATCCGGGCCCACATGTCATTTAGGGTGCGTTTGGTTGGTGAAAAGAAAATTTTTAGATGCCTCATTGGACGTTTGATCGGATGTCGGAAAATGTTTTCAGACACGAATGAAAAAACTAATTTCATAACTTGTCTAGAAACCGCGAGACAAATTTATTAAGCCTAATTAATCCACCAGTAGCACACGTGAGTTACTGTAACACTTATGGCTAATCATGACTAATTAGGTTTAAAAGATTCGTCTCGTGATTTCCATGCAAACTGTGCAATTAGTTTTCGTTTTATCTATAGTTAATGCTACATGTATGTGTCCAAAGATTCAATGTGATATTTTTTGAAAAAAAAGGGGAACTAAACAAGGCCTTACTTAGCTTCCCAAGGTAAAGCAGCTTGTGCGCTACTCCCTCTATAAAAAAAAACCCAATCTAGAAGGAGATACATCCCCTCCTAAGAGCAAGTTTAATAGTATAGCCAACTAATAGTTCCAAATAATCTATAATCAATTTTATAGCCAATATATATAATAGTTACCTATAAACATATACTATACTATTGATACATGATCCCACCTGTAATACATATATTGCGTCCATTCTATGCTGCAGCGGGCTATAAATTATAGCCTACTGCTCTTCACTTTCTTCTTTTTATCTATATATGTGTTTAGAGTTGGCTTATAGTTTGTTATTGTATCTATTTTAATACAACAAATTTGGATAAAGAACTGTCCAGAATTCCAAATTTATTATTCTATATGAGAGGTTACATGTTGGTTTATTTTAAAGGACGGAGGGATTATATATGGAGTACATACGTATCCATCTTGGTCGCCGATATCGCGCGCGCCTCATCTCTTCCAACTTCCAAGTGGTAAGCAACAGAAGCCGAGGCCGAGCCAGTGCAGAGGGATCGGGGATCGCCATGGTTGCCGTGGGATACATCGTGGGAGCCATCGCCTCCGTGGCCGTCGGCGCGGCGGTGAGCCTGCTTTGGCCGGCGGTGGCGCCCGTGGTGATGATGAAGGCGCCGGGCGGCGCCGGCCTCCTCATCTCCCGCATGGCCTTCGAGGCCAACCCGCAGCTCTACTACCACCTCCTCCACACCGCCGGCCGCGTCGCCGCCGCCGCCGCCTTCGCCGTGTGACGTGACGAATCGACGACCTTAATTATTACTTCCACTGTTTTATATTATAAGAATTTTTAGAATTGCTATGAATATATTATGTCTAGATTCACTAACATTCATATAAATGTGGGTAATGCTATAATGTTTTACAATATAAAACGGATGGAGTACGTACGTCTTGCGCTGCTTTGTTGTTAACTTGTTGCTTGGTCGTAGGAACTTACGTTAATCGTGCCACCTAGTTGAAGTGTTTGCGTTGGTGCTGCTCACATTGATCGATCGACGATCGATTGCTGTTCGACATGCTATGTTATCCTGGCTATCCTGGCTAGCTAGCTTTTCGAGCAATACGTAGGTTCTGTCTGAGAGATTACGAGAAATACTCTCCCGCCCTAAAAAAAATCAACCTAGATGAGGATGTGACTTCACCTAAAACTACGAATCCGGGCATCCCCATCTAGGTTTTTTTTTTTGACGGAGGGAGTAGCTAAAAGGAATCTAGATTCTGGTTTTTAGTTTAATTTTTTGCGCTTTTGCTACTGTGCAGTCGCCTGCAAATTTGTAATTCATCAGTTAATCCCCTAGTCGTTGATTCTGCATTAAGATCTATGCACACTACTGGGCTGGTGGAGAAGACTTTCTAGATATGGACCTTACTTACAGATATATTGAATATGCTCTAAGTTTTAACCAAATTTTTAGGAAAAAATTAGTTACATTTTTATCCCAAGATAAATATATTTAATTATAGATATAATAAAACTAATTTGATTTTGTAGATATTACTAAACATAGTTAATCTTGAAGTAGTCTAATTTAAATAAAGTTAAAACGGAGATGATGGCGGCGGCGACGACGCGAAGCTCCTCGGCGATGGTGGTGGCTAAGCAAAGCTTCAAGACTGATTCAAAACGATCATCTGGGATACATTATTGAGGAACCCAAGCTGCAGGTTTGCTCTCTCACATTCCCAAATTCCATTTTTCTCTTTTTCAAGTTCTCTGCAAACCCTAATATTTAATCCCCTCTCTCTCTCTCACCGGTACTGCAGGTGGCATCAACAGTGGATATGGAGGCAACTCCGTACTTGCTCTTGGTTACAGTACCCATCCTGGTGCACACACGCGCACTAGCTTTCTCTCCGGCGTTGAGTGATTGTAGATGTAGTATGTGGCGATGCCCCTGTTCCTGACCATTCTGAAAGCTATCGCTCTGAGGAAGCATTGCTACTGTTAGGTGGTGTGAGGAAGCAAGAAGAATAATTTTGATAAGAATCATTGCTACTGCTTAGTGGTGTTACAAAGCAACAATTGGCAGTACCAACTACCAAGCAATAACAACAAATCTGACGCACATTTGATTTGCACATATTTTCAGAAATATTCAGAATGTTTGCCATTCTGAATTTTGAGCGGACTGCACATTTTTCTTTCTTCTTACATGGTAAAAATGTTCACCCAGATTGAATTGAATGTAATATCTCTCAAATTCTTGAAATCTGAATGCAAAAGGTTATGATGGCTTGCTGATATGAATGTAAAAAAATTTGCTGGTTTTTCCATCGAAGTCTCTGTGTGAAAATTATCAATACCAGGTTTAATTATGTGAACATGCATAGTGAAAATTTTCAGTGCTTGCTGAAGCATATCAATAATGAGAAATGCACTTGTACATATATAAGGAGATACATTAAAATCAAGCAAGCTGTCCTGATCAACTAATAGTTTTCCTGCTACTGCAGATGCCTCCCATATTCTCTTGCTACCATCTTCATTCAACTATTCTTCAGCACCTGACCAAGTAGTATCTCTAGAAATAGTAAATCAAGTTAGACCATGGAAGCCAAGAACATTGCATAGCTCCTATACCATTCCCTTGAAAAAAAAGAATATAACAATATCCAGTATCCAGTACATGTGTATGCTTGTAAGAAAAAATATCATATAGGAGAAGACATAAGGTCTTGTTCAAGGATTACCTCATAGGAAGGACATGAAGCTCCTTCCCAATCACCGTTTTCACCTATGGCAAGAGGAAATGCAGGAGAACGAACAAGTTCAACAAAGAGAATCGCAAGAGTCATGGATTAGTGCGCTCGGAGGACACACGATCTGATAGATGAGGGGATAGGAAAACCAATCGTGAGGGGGGTTTTTGCAAAATGCCAGGGCAAGAGGCGGGCGCTTTTTTTGCAAAATTACCTCACCTGAACACTAGCCTTTGGATCTAGATTGGAGGGGCCTGATTGTGTGTGTGCATGAGTGCACCAGATTCGTGAATTTTTTTTAAAAATAATATTATTTTAATGGAAAATCGCAAAATTATAGGTCGGCTAGACGAAATCGCAATTTTAGCGCCCTGTCGAACTGGGGCAGTTCGATAGGTACCCCTGTCGAACTGGGGCAGTTCGACAGGCCCTAGTTCGACAGGCTAGTTGTCCAAGAAAAAAAATAAAAAAGTACTTGCTACAGTACCCGATAGGGACGTATCGAACAGGGGGAGTTCGATAGGGCGCGTGGCATGGACGTATCGAACAGCGGGAGTTCGATAGGCAGCGTCGCTACAGTGTCGCTACAGTGTTTTCCCTTTTTTTATGTTATTTTATTACCTGTCGAACTGTACCCTATCGAACTGGGGCAGTTCGACAGGTACCCTTTCGAACTGCCTCCGTTCGACAGGGTGCTAAACTTGCGATTTCGTCTAACTGACCTATAATTTTGCGATTTTCCATTAAAATAATATTATTTCCAAAAAAAACTCCCAGATTCGTTGCCGGTTATCTTTCCTAGCAGCATAACGTGACATAAGCATACATGACATCAATCAGGGAATCCCATCTTGCGTCACACTTCCATTTCACCTTCATGCTTTCCACAGCTTTGGTTTCTTACCTTTTTCGATTTCGTCGTTCACTGTTGTTAGTCAAGGTGACCTTTCACTGTTGCTTTGCTTGTGATGCGTAGTACAAGAGCTCATACTTTTGTTTCGTTAGTGCTGGTGGTACATGGTGCACCTCCTATCTTTAAGACCTTTTTAGCCAAAGGAATCACCTTGGGACCGTGCAAACAATCAATCAATGCTGTAGTATTTACCAATGTCGAATTCCTTCGTTTCCAAGTAAGCTCTAATGGTGTATACTACACAGAGTCAAACCTTGAGCTCTTAAATCATTAATAGATTCAGAAAGTTATTAAAAATCCAATATATAGATAAAATTATTAGATTTATTTACTTTTATATAGTTATATTCTTAATAACTTTATAAAAATATAATTAGAACAATAATGATGATACGTATATATTGGGACTGCTCCATTCGTTTCATAAAAATACAAGGTTAGTATGGGATGTGACATATTAGGCCATTCCTAACCCAATAATTAGGATGATGTCCATAGCATTAAATAAGTTGTTACCTAGAATGAAACATGATGTGGCAATGACAAAAGAGAAGGAAACCAGGTCTTGCGTGAGACATAGTTTCTATACAACATTTAAAACATCATGTGAGATAAGTAGCATTAAATTTAAGTATGAAAGAGTGGTGTTTGCATTGAGAAAGTAGTGTCTAGGGAGTACTAGTTTTTAATAATATGGAGTTTATGAAAACCATGTCTAGTGTTTTGGGTTGGAACTGGTATTATGTACTAGATTTTTCTAATAAGAATATGTTTTTATTTTTTTAAATTCTTTTTGGAAGTTGCAACTTTATAGAAGTTTACTATATTACTGTAGCCATGGCCTTCTACATAAGCAACGGAAGACTCCACTACTCAGTCCTCACCTCGGTAGCTAATACTACTTTACTTTATTACTGTCGTTTTGGTTTGCTTAGCAGAATATGGTTGGCGTGAGCGAGTTCGTCGGCGGCCTGCTCAACTCCGCCAAGAGCGCGGTGGCGGCCGTGGCCTCCACCGTGGCGGCGGCGGCCAAGCCGGGCCTCGCCGCGGGGGTCGGCTTCGTGAAGGAGCAGGGCGTGGGGAAGTCGGCGCTGGCCGTCGGCGGGGCCGCCGTGGCCGCCTACTTCCTCTGGCCCACGGCGGCAGTCGGCGGCGCCATCATGAACGCGCCGGGCGCCGCCGGCTACGTCATCTCCCGCGCGGCGTTCCTGGCGAACCCCAAGCTCTACTTCCACCTCCTGCGCACGGTGGGCGCCAAGGCGGCCGCCGCCGCTTTCCTGTAGGGAAGAAATGGTATCCGCCGCCGCCGACGTCCGCCGCTCGCTGGCGTTGGCTTGCTGGTTCGTGTGTGGCGTTTGGTTGAGTGAGTAATCGCCTTGCTAATTAAGGAGGGATTTGTGATGGAGTTCATGCTTAGATTACTCTTGTTTGGCTGTGAATCTGTGTGGGCTAGTAATTCACGGTGTTTAGGCGACGTGGTTATATGCTAGTACATCCATGGTCATGTGTAATAAGGTGCCGTGTAATAAGTTTTTGTGGTAATTAAGTATGTTGCCGTTTAAACTTATGTAGGAATTTAACATGTCTAAACCCTATTATCCAAACAAATATCCCTTGGAACACAGGGTACTTGAAGAAATTTTGGAAATCCTACAAAATTCCTTTGAATTATTATTCCAAAAAAAATCATTTGAATTGGCTTGAAACATAAAAGAAATTTAGAGCCTCTTTGAAGTAAATGATTTACAGAGGAATTTCATATAATTGAAATTTTATAGAATTTTTTTTATTTGGCCTTTTGATTAAAAGGATTTGAGTTTTCCAAACCATATATATACAATTCCTATAGAATATTGGTCTATATTGCACATCCAGTAAATTCAAAGGTGACTGAAAATTCCAACGATTTCAGGCAGGACAATCCGCTAATACGAGTATTGGCATGCAAAGATGGTCGTTCTCGATCTTGAGGGTCGGCCGATGGCGGACTTGAACGTTGCTCTACGCGCCTTTCTTGCCAGCTGCTCTAGGCCTCTGCCGGCCTGCCCCCTGCGTTGCTCCCACTGGACCCGCCTCCGTCGCCTGCCATCGCGGCCATGGGGAAGTGCCGAGCCACAGCGAGAGGATTGCGGCCAAACTCGCGCTCGACGGCCCGAGTCATACGGTCTCGTGTGCGCAGCACAATCTGATATGCAAGCTTGGGTTGGTGTCTAAGGAGGGTCCTGTGTAAATCGAGGCGGAGGGTCCTGTGTAAATCGAGACGGTTGCGGCTTACAACGTCATCGCCCTATCTTCGCTCTTCTCCAGCTCCCTGCCTAGATGCAGGCCGGAGTGTAGTGGGTTTCCATACCCATCCCTCCCTCGTGGTAGGAGTTTTCTTTTTCTGTAGCTAACCGTTTATGTATTTGTTTTTTGTTTCTTTTTTTTCTTGGCCCCTGACAACGGCTTTCTGACCGTTTGTGTTGTGTAACTAAATTATGCCATCTTCTTATAATATATTAACGTGCAAATTTTTTGCGTTCGTAAAAAATATTGTATGCAAAGCCACGTCCATTTGAATTTGCCGTGGCTGACATGTCATTGACTCAGCTACAACCCTCATCCGTTTAAACCTCACAATAAAACTAGTACCACTAGAACATTAATCAAGGATCAATTACCGGAGTATCGTTTCATCTTCTTCACCGTAAAAACTAGCTACCGACTCCCCTGCTCTGCCTTCCTTCAATTCTCAGTTCTCACCTCCCCAACTCTTTCCCTTCCCGAGATAATTAAGCAACAAATGCACAAGGCTCGCCAGCTAGTACCAAGACTAGACTTGTGTACTACTCATATAAATATACTCTCTTCGTTACTTTTGATAGTTATATTTTATCTTGGCACACAAACCAAGGATAAGTACATTCCCAATCCAATAAATAGGATGGTGTCCATAGCAATTAAATAAGTTGCCACCTAGGAAAAAAAATGACGTGGCAAGTGAATAAATGAGGAAAGATAAGGAAACTATATCTAGCATGAGACATGGTTTCTACATAACATCCAAGGCATCATGTGAGATAAGTAGCATTAAATTGAAGTATGGAATAGTGGTGTTTGCATTGGAAGAGTAGTGTCTAGTACTAGTTTCTTGATGATGTGGAGTTTATGGAAACCATGTCTAGTGTTATGGGTTAGGACTGCCCTAAGTAATTCTACTTATCATCTATTTAAATATGCTACTAGTCATTCATCGCAAACAAACGATTCATCAATATTTACATTTCTCGATGTCCATGTAGCCAATCTTGTATGGAAGAATGAAGAGTCATGCATTAAATTCGAGAAAATCATTAAGATGATAGGTTGTTGAATTGAAATATGCCTATCAAAAATATTTTTTTTAAATTTAGAAATATGACTATCACGAGTAGATAGAGGGAGTTGTATACTATATACATACGTACTTCTATCCATCCTGGTCGTCCATACTCTCCATCTACTTTTCCGTACAGTCCACTTAAAAGCCTGCACGCGAAAATCGATTTTTCCGTACGGTTCTCTTAAGTCGACAGCACGGGATAACGAGGATTATCCCGTGCAGTCGGGTTAAGACGTGCGGGCAATAGCCCGGTGCTCGTCCCCCCATTTTTCCATGCGGTTTCAGTTTCGGACCGCATGGAAACAAAATGGGTGGTGTCCAGGAAAATCTATCATGTAGTACTCCCTACGTTCCATAATATAAGGCACAACTACTTTTTTGGATGTTCCATAATATAAGGCATGCATGCATGCATACAATTAATTAGAACCTCTTCTCCGTTAAATTATTACTTTTTTAATCCTCTACCATCAAGACCTCTAATTCTATTGGATGCATGTATTATACTCCCTCCATCTATTTTTGATAGTCATATTTCTAAATCTGAAAAATTTATTTTTGATAGGCATATTTCAATCCAACAACCTATCATCTTAATTACTTTCTCGGATTTAATGTGTGACTCTTCATTCTTCTACACAAGATTGGCTACATAGGCATCGAGAAATATAAATATTAATGAATCATTTGTTTACGAGGAATGACTAGTAGCATGTTTAAATGGATGATAAGTAGAATTATTTATCCTTGGTCTGTGTGCCAAGATGAAATATGACTATCAAAAGTAGATGGAGTGAGTATTTATTATGGTGATTCAAACTAGAAGATGATAATAATTGTTTCTTGGTCTTTGGGTTAAGAGTGGCTGTGTCTTATATTTTAGAACGGAGGAAATAGTCTTCAAATATGTCGTTTAACTCGAGCACATAAGTAGGTGCCTGTTTTCTTAGGGGGACTTGTCCTTTTTTTACATAGTAATTTGCTTGCGTTCTTAGCTTAGTCGAGTGCTAGTTTATTTTTCTGAAGAAACACAAGACAAAATTAAAGCTCTGACTTATTTCATTATCTTTTCGAGTTACTTATGGAGCTGTCAGTTAATACCTAATTTGCTTGCGTTCTTAGCTTAGTTCAGCTCGTTGTCAAAATCAATCTCACTAAGATTTGACATTGCCAAATATTGGCACACTTTGGTGTCATCAAAGTTGGTATTGTTGAATGTTTTCAGTTTGTAACTTACCAAATTTTGAAAGTTCTCTTATTGGAAGAAACTTTTAGAAATATCAAAATTTGGTAAGGTGACAATGAAGAAGAGTGTTTAGTTTATGGTATTACTCCCTCCATCTACTTTTGATAGTCATATTTTCAAATCTAAAAATTTTATTTTTGATAGGCATATTTCAATCCAACAACCTATCATCTTAATGATTTTTTTAAATTTAATGCGTGACTCTCCATTCTTCAACACATGATTGGCTACATGGGTATTGAGAAATGTAAATATTAATGAATCGCTTGTTTACGAGGAATGACTAGTAGCATATTTAAATAGATGATAAGTAGAATTATTTATCCTTGGTCTGTGTGTCAAGATGAAATATGACTATCAAAAGTAGATGGAGAGAGTACCAAATTTGATAACATAAAAAATGATAAGGTTAAAAGTGGTAATAAACTGAACAAGCATTTATATTGACCAAGGTGGCACGATGGAACGGACTAATTAAGGTATAAATTCCCCCCCTCCCTTCTTTTTTTCATTTGAGGCCACCTGTACAATTGTTTGCATGTTTGGGCTAGGTTTATTCTGTGGAATAAGTTCACTTTATGACCCTCAAAAGTGATCGAAATCTAATCCATGACCCTAAACCACAAAACCGGATATCTCGACCCCCAACTCTTAAAACCGGTGCAATTTGACTCCCTTGGTGGTTTTGGAGGACAGTTTCGCTGACGTGGCGCTTACATGTCAGTATTGACTCGGTCTTCTGTCCACATGGTGTTGACGTGGCGCTTAGGTGGCATTAGAAATAAAAAAAATATACGTGGGACCCATTTGTCATTCACCAAAAGTATAGGTGGGACCCACTGACATGTGGGGCCCACATAAATCATATCCTCCCCTCTCTCTTTCTCTCCGCGAGTGTGGGACGGTGGCCAGCGGCGGCGGAGACCTGGGAGTGGCACTGGAGCGGCGACAGCGGCGTGCGGGCGAGGGCCGGAGCGGCGGCGGCGGAGATCGAGACTGCCGTGGAAGGTTGGCCGTCGGAAGGAAGAAAACGGGCCACGAGAATGGCCGCGTCCTCGCCACCCTCAGCCCCGTGACTGTACTATCCACCACTATGCTCCACGCCCTCTCTGCCGGCCACGACGCACCCGCCTCCGCCGTTCTCCCGCCGCGCCCACGAACGCGTAAGGGCCGCTTGCGTCTCGCCACCGCGACTCGCGTCGGCATCCCCTCGAAGATGGCGGCATCCGGCGGTGGCTTCTCCTGCACCTGCGACGGCGGCTGCGTTGAAGGCGGGAGGAGCGGCGCGAGCGGGGGAGGCGCCGCCGCCGCCGATGGACGCGGTCGGCGTGCTGAGCCGGCCGACAACGACGCGACCACACGCGAGTTGGGAGGCATCTGCGTCGAGCATTCTCCTGCTGGTTGCTGAGGCAATCGGCAAGGGGCGACAGATGAGGACTGGCTGGACTGCGGCTAGCAAGCACAAGCGGTAGCAACAGGCAGTGCATGTGTGTACTAACATCAAGCGGCAAGCCAACAAGCAAAGGGCTGACAGGTTCACCGCGTTGTCCTCGACCATCTGCCTCGTCGCCGCTTCGCTGATCAGCGTCCAGTGATCCGAGTTGAATAGCCACCACCTTCCCGGCGAGCACGTTCCTGTACGTAGCACTGGCTGTCGAGCTCCCCCGGCGTGCCGTGGTCTAGGTGCACCCACGCCGTCTCCTCCGCGTCCGGCGGGCACACGGCCCGGAGCTCGTCGCCATACTGCGCGTCTTCGTTCACCATGGGGTATATCCGCTGCGAGAAGGAGGAGCAGCGCGAGCGCGTCGAGGCGGCCGGAGCGGACGGTGTAGCTGATCGCCTGCGGGCGGCGGCGGCGCCCGGGCTGAGCTCCACCACGGTGAAGATGGAGGAGACCACAGCGGCGGCGGCGGGAGGCACACGCGGCGGGGTACGGCGAGCTCGGCCGCGCCCTGCTCGACCTGCAGGTCGCCACCGCCACACCCGCGTCTCCGTTGCGCTGCTCGTAGGCCGCCGCTCCACACCTGCGCCTCCGCCGCTCGGGACTCCGTGCAGCCGCAGCCGCTCGCCGCAGTCTCCGCCAGCCGCCGCGACACCCGCAGAATCTCTCGGGTTCTGAGGGGAGCTCGGCCGCCGACGACATCTCGATGTCGGCCGTCGGGTGGTGCGGGTGGTGGTGGCAGCGGCACGACATGGACTCCAGCCTACCTCCGCCGCCGCCACTTCAGCTCCCGCCGTCCGCCGCTGCTTCAGCCCCCGCCCGCCGCCGCTCGCTCCCCGCGGACGGCTGTAGGGGAGAGGGAGAGAAATAGAGAAGGGAGGAGGGGAGGAAGAAGAAACGGATAAGATGGCATGTGGGGCCCACATGTCAGTGGAATCCACAATTGTGTGTGTGAATGACAAACGGGTCCCACGTATATCTTTTTAATTGAAATGCTATCTAAGCGCCACGTCAGCACACAGACTAGGTCAATACCGTCACGTCAGCGAAACCGCCCTCTAAAACCGCCAAGGGAGTCAAATTGCACCGGTTTTAATAGTTTGAGGGTCGAGATATCCGATTTTGCGGTTTAGGCTCATGGATTATATTCCGATCACTTTTGAGGGTCATCAAGTGAACTTATTCCTTATTCTGTAGCTTGGGCGCCCAACCAGCAGGTCGCCTTCAATTCGGCCCAAAACCGCACAAGCGTGTTGACAACTTTACATGTCTTGCGGGCCATAGCGTGGTGAAAACCGACGTCGCCGCCTCTACCTGAAATTTTTACAATTTGGTCCTTTTTGAAAACTTATTTTATAAATAGACCCCTGGGAAAACTTAAACCGGAAATGGTCCTTTTCGGGACGCCAGAGTGGCTGGCGCCGTACCCCAACATAGCGGCGCCAGCCACACTGGCGCCGTGCCCGTGCCACCGTGGCAATAGGGCTGTCGTGGAGGTGCTGACTAGGCCGAAGGGGGCGCCAGCCAAAGTGGCGCCGCCCCTCATAGAACGGCGCCAGCATGGCTGGCGCGCCCCTCCTCTACGGGCCCCACCAACTTTCTCCCCCCCCCAAATTTTCGCCAAGTCTGTTCTGCCTCCAGGCAACGGCTGGCGCCCCCCCCGACCGCGGCGCCAGGGTGGCTGGCGCCCCCCTCCTCCACCCATCGAAGCCCTTCTGCCTCCGGGCCTCGGCTGGCGCCGCCCTCATGGACCACGGCGCCTGGGTAGCTGGCGCCGCCCTCCCCCAGCCCGAAACCCTTCTGCCACGCGGCACTGGCTGGCGCTGCCCTTCTCAACCTCGGCGCCAGGGTGGTTGGCGCCGCCCTCTGCCTCCCTGCAAATTGTAGATCCATATTGCACAAATGTACCAATTCACAGTTCGCAATTCAAATCACAATTCACAGATTCGTACAGACTAAAACAAGTTCCAATTGCACAAATCACAATGCCAAAAGTCCATCACATAGTCCATCACATATTCCACACATTAAACAATGCCAAAAGTCCATCACATGTCCCACACATCAAACAATGCAAAAAGTCCATCCTATATTCCACACATGAAACAATGTCAAAAGTCCATCACATAGTCCTCACATAGTCCATCACATTTTATATCACATAGTGCACCACATATGTCATACTACCAACCAATAAATTAACTTCATACAAATTACTTCTTCCGTTGGCGCCGAATTGCTTGCGAGCCCGGAGAGTACCTACATTTGAAAATCCAATGTTTAAAACATTTTAAAAACAAAATAAGGGAAATCAAATAACATTTGAGAATGGTAAGCTCATTTTACCTCTTTTTCGCTGCCCGAGTGGATCGCAAGTTGTATTGCGTGGGTTGCGTCCCCTGAGGCGCGTCGGGAAGCTGTGACATGTCTATCTCCTCGGCATCTGGTGCGACGTAGTCCTCATCCTCCTCGTCCTCATCGTCATCGTCGTCGCTAGGTGGAGCCGGCGCCTTCCCCTTTCCCCTCCCTTGCTTAATGCGTGACGACGACGAGCCACCAACTCCTTCACGCTCTTCTATCCTGATGGAGTGTCGAGCAGTACTTGGACGCGCGGATTGAGGTAGTGGTGGTGGTAGTCTCCCCGGTTGGTACACGTCGTCCAATCCAACCGACCTGCAACCTAATCTTGCTGCAAGTTTCCGGCACCTTTGACGAACTTTCTGCATTTCAAAAAAAAAAGAAGTTTGTTAGGCATAACTCAAGTAATGCAAAGTGCTAAATAAATTTTACCTCTAAAACATTGCGGAGCGTGTTCTCCGTGTCCTCACCACCCCTCGGAGCTTGGAGGGCATGCCCCATTTCATTCACACTCCTGAGGAGCTCTCTCGACTGAAAGCGTGAAAAGATATATGTTAGGGTCTAGGGTGCAAATGTAAGTAACTTTGACAAATGCAAGAAAACTTACGACTTTGTCTCTAAGTGGGGCGTGCTCCATTTGATATCCAACTCTAGTCCGGACATCATAGGGATTCCGCCCCTCATCGGAGTCGCGGTCATCCTCTATGTCGGCTTCCGTCCAAGTAGGGCGGAGGAACAGTCTATATGTCCTATGCAGCCAACGAAGGTACTCTGAGAAAAGATGATTTTGGTGTATAGTTTCGATGTACCTATCGTTCCTTCCGGCTGTTCTCCATTCATCAATGTATCTATTATGCTCTAGCCCCCAGTCTTTCACCTTCTTTGTTCTCACCCTGTCATACCTAGACAAGTAGAAGGTGATGAAATAGTAGTGAGCATCGACAAGGGTTAAATGGTACAAAATTGAACATTGACAATGAAAGCAAACAAAGATAAGAAATATTTACTTGTGTAATTCAACTCCAGTTGAGATGTCCTCAACCGGCCAATCTTGTTTCTTCCCGAACTGTCGCATGACACGGTGCGGAAGGTGGTACTCAACTGCCCAGAAACAAATCAATGGGCACTGGTACATGAAATAGTCAGAGTCTCGATTGCACATCGAGTTCAGGGTCAGGCTTGAAGCCTCATTTGTGTGGTATGGTAACCACTCAATCTGCAAAAGTTGAAGAGATGTCGTTGGTTAGTATCTCAATTAAAGAAGTAAATGTCTAACTAGAAGTGATATTGGAAGTACTTACATGTTGAGGCTGCAAGCAGTCCATCTCATTGACATAATGCTTGTATGCCACATCCCGGTGAGCATGTGCAGTGGCAGTACTCTCAAAAAGGTAGGCCACTGTCTTCTCCATGTCTGGCTCATTGTAGGGCCAAGGAGTGAAGCTTTGCCTCCACTTAGGCCTTCCAACCGGTAGTCTTAACCACATCCACATCTGAATCAATAGCACACAACCACTCATGTTGGATGATGGTGCCTGACGACAACAGGCCTCACAGAGCTGTCTATATGTCCACACTAACACTGCTGACCCCCAACTGAAACGGCCCAGATCACCAAGGTTGGCGACCAAAGGAATCCATATCGCCGAAGCAATGTCACCCCCAGCATCAGGAAACAGAACCCCTCCCAACAAGTGCAAGATGTATGCACGGGCATAACACTCAACACGCCATGGCTCAGCATCGTCGTCAAGATGTGAGAAGTTCTGACTCAGCCAAGACAGGGGTATTCCATTCTGCTTCTTCTTCCCCCCTTGCCCCTGCTCAATGTTCAGTGGAATGCCAAACAGCTGCTGCACTTGTGCATGCCATCCAGGAGTATCTGTCTTGCCCGTCACGGCATGCCCCCGTAATGGGAGGGCCAAGATCATAGCCACATCCTGTAGAGTGATGGTCATCTCACCACTGGGGAGGTGGAAGCTGTGTGTCTCAGGCCTCCATCTGTCCACAAGTGCTGTCAACGCAGGAGCGTTGAACACTGGCATTCCTCTGCTCACGACCAAGGCCACCCCGAGCAACCCGGCAGCCCTTAGGTACGGGATGTACCTATCGTCGAACACTGGGGGGGCATGAGCTCTGACTCGGAGCGGTTGAAGTACCTGCATTAGCAATTGTAAATCAATTAGTTAATATAATGTCAAATACACGCTACCGATACTTATGCACAAGTGAATCAATGCCGATTCATACCCTCCCCGCCTCGATCGCAGCCCCGCGATGACGGGCCTCGTAGTACGCCTCCAAGGCTGGGTAAGTCGGCGGTTGTCCCTCCTCGGCCATCCTACATGAAAAAGTAATAAATTCACCGTTAGTTACCAATGTGACATATATTAAAAGAAAATGAATGCGAGAACATGAGTAGGAAAACAAAATATTTACCTCCCTAACACTTAAATTTTTTTTGGACTTCTTCTTTTTTGGACGCTTAGGACACTTAGTTTTCTTGTGACCCTCCTGGTGACACAACGAGCATCTATTTTGCACCGGCGCAGCATCAAGTTGAACGCATGAAGGTGGTTTCCTTCCAGAACCACCCAGACCTGAGTCCATTTCGTTCTTGAATCGTTTCGATCTCCTCTTCCCTCTTGTTTTAATCTTCAAATTTGGGTCAGCAACAAATTCTTCACCATCGTACGATGGCCACTGTGTGGGGTCGAGGTATGGCTCAAAGCGACTTGCCCATGTGTTCACAACGGCTCTTGAAGAGAACTGATACGGCATTCGGTTGGGAGATTCCTTATCAATTGCATGAATCAGATAAACGTGTATAAGATGTGAGCAAGGCATATGGTAGAGCAATGGCCTTTGGCAAGAACATGAGTTCCCCTCACCTTCAACTTTGAAGGCTCTTGCGCCGAATCTAACACCACCACGCGTTATACCACCCCTCTCTGTGACCTCGTATGTCTTTTTCTGCTTATCGAAACACCTTGCAGTGTGTTTGTTCGCCTTACTTTCTTGCACCTTCATCTTACTGTCAACCTTGGTGGACCAACGCTGCCCTAACTGGACTCGCTTCAAAGCTTCATCATGTCTGTTCACAAAGTAGTCATTACACTTCATGAACGTAAATGATACGATGGCCGTCACTGGAAGCTTACGAACACCAACTAGCACGCTATTGAACTGTTCGGCCATGTTGGTTGTCATGTAACCCCACCGGCGGTCATTTCTATCGTATGCACGAGACCACTTATCTTTATCCAACAACTCATCTTCAAGCCATTTACGAGGACCTTCGGGAATACGCTGCCTTAGTGCCTCAACATCCCTCTCAAATATCCACTTCTCGTCAATCTGACATATCCTTAGGAGCTCTTTTGTCTGATGCTTGTCCGCACCGGCCTTGTGGAAATTAGCACTGAAGTGCCTCATGTACCACCGGTGGTGAACCGATGGCAATCCTGGAACAGGAGTCATCATGGCATTCATTATACCAGCATGTCGATCTGAGATAATACAAACCTCCCTATGCGGCCCAACCACAACCCGTCGGACAAGATCGATAAACCAGCACCAGTCTCGTGAATTCTCTTTCTCCACCAAGGCAAAAGCTAAAGGTACAAGTTGGTCCTCCGCATCAGCTGATAATGCAGTCATCAAGGCACCACCGTATTTCCCAGTTAGGAAGGTTGCATCTATAGCTAGTACTGGCCTACAATGTTTAAAAGCCTCAATGGAAGGACCAAAGCACCAGAATGCACGCATAAAAATTTTCTTGGTCACTCCATCAACGTTGACAACCCTATCAGGATGAGTATCGATATGGTAGACCATACTGGGATTCCTCTGCTTAATGGCTTGCAGCAAAGTGGGCAAACGGACATACGCTTCACCCCATTCACCGTAAATGAGCTTCATAGCCTCCTCTCGTGCCCTCCAAGCCTTGCCATACTTCACCCTATACTGGAAAACCTCAAATATATACAAAGCTAACGCAGAAGCAGAGAGTGTAGGTTGCAGTTTTATGGCATTGCATAACCTATTTGCTATGAACTTTGATGTCAGTTGCCGGTGGCTCCCTGAACCTTCGGCAGTAGCACAACTATGTTCCTTACCTACCCGTGATATCCTCCACGTGCCACTAGACCTCTTAGTTGCATGGACCTTCCATTTGCACCGTGGGTTTTCACATTTAACAGTGTACCTCCTATTTGCGGCAGAATTGACAACACGGTATGGACGATGGTGCACGATGGCGTACTCCTGGAGCCATAGCTTCAATGCGACCATGGATGGGAACTCTAAACCCTTTCTGAGACCATCCAACTGGAATGGTTCTGGCAACTGATCTAGGTTGATGCCGCCATCTACTAGTGCACCATGGGCATGTGTTAGGTCCCTAAACTCAGGAATGTCCGGCTTCCTCCCAAACACCTTCTCAAACGCACGACATTCCTCTAATGCTAACTTGTCATTATTAGTAAGTGGAGGGAATGGACGGTCATCATCAGAGTCTTCAGCAAATTCAACATCATATTGCTCAACACTTGCCTCCTCGTCAACATCATCTCTATTGACTTCTACTGAGACAGAATCGTGACCACCACTCAATTCGACATAAAAGTAATCATCTGGATTCACATATTGGCCTGCTACTTCTGTCGGGTATTCAGGGTTGACTCCGTACGACGACCAATGAACACTCGCCGACAAATGTTCACTTAGATCAAGCCCCTCTTGTACTAACTCCCTTTTCATCACCCTCGCTGCATCCACATCATCAGTACCGCAATGTCTCTTTGATGGTCCTGCCTCCCATAAATCATTTCCAAGCAAAGGTCTCTTCTTCTCTCCTTCACCCTCCAAGTCTTCTCGTACCAACTCACTCTTACTTGCACCCCCTCCACGACGAGAATAATATGTCACAAAATTCTTCTCAACGTAATGATAAGAATGAGATTTGTTTAGATCCAAATTTTCTACGGTACGAACTAACTTTGATGCAAACACCTCTAGAGATCTAAACTGAGACTCTTTTACCAAATCAAAGTAAACTTCCCATTCCAACTGACCTATCACATTTAATATATACTTATGCCCTTGACCAACATCGTATCTCCCATAAAAACGAATCTCCACATTATCCTCGGTCCATCCAAGAACTTCTTTCACTCGTGACCTTAGTTCATCTAGAGTTGGGTGGGTGGGAAACAAAATAGTCTTCAATGACATATCCTCAAACTCAACATGTCCACCAACATAAGGTTCCACCACTCTACCACCATAGTAAACACGAACAAGTCTATCCATCTACACCAAAAAATCAAATGTAACTTTGCAACAAAAATTAAATCTTCATTTTTAAACGTAGTCCAAACCGACATATTATAACCAATGCATAACTTAAATTGTCCCAAAGCTACTACTCCAAAAAAATATTTAATCCACCTACAACTATCAACAAGTTTACTACTACATTACACATCGAAATATTACAAATACTCTATCATACAACCCAAACCTCCGTCATGCCTCAACCATAATTTTTCATCCATCCATCCAACCAAACCATCCAAAAATTAACATTACCACATATATGGTTAAAAAATTCATGACACCAATGAGTACATTGCAAACATGTAGCACTACAACAAGCCAATCCTAAGAACAAATGCTAAAAATCACAAATTTGGGTAAAAAAGGGGTTCTAGGGTTACCCACCGATCTACAAATTCAACCAATAAAAATGAAAAAAAAGAGGGGGGAATGAAGGAGTCTACCTTTCTCTTCGATTTCCACAAAAAATCCCGCGAAAAACGGCTTCAAATTGAGTGGATTTGAGGTGGAGAGGTGAGGGGGAGAGAGAGGGAGAAGAACAGCAGCTCGCTGCTCGGGCTGGGAATGGTGAAAATGGGAGTGGGGAGGAGAAAGGTGGTGGGGCCCACGGGGTTTAAGGCACAGAGGAGGGGCGCGCCAGCTATACTGGCGCCGTGGTACGAGGAGCGGCGCCAATGTCGCTGGCGCCCCCTTTCTGCCCAGTCAGCACCTCCACGACAACCCTAGTGCCACGGTGGCACGGGCACGGCGCCAGTGTGGCTGGCGCCGCCATGTTGGGGTACGGCGCCAGCCACTCTGGCGCCCCAAAAAGGACTATTTCCGGTTTAAGTTTTCCCAGGGGTCTATTTGTAAAATAAGTTTTCAAAAAGGACCAAATTGTAAAAATTTGTTCCGCCTCTACAGGGTCGGAGGGGAAGTCTAGCTGTTTCGGCTTTGGGGGCTTTGTTTGGATGGAAATTATTTTTTATTTTTATCATATTAAATGGTGATGAATTTTATAGTATAAAGTAAATATTTGATCTGGTACCCACTTTTATCCACACTAGTCTCTATACTGAATTAAATTTGATAATGTTAAAACTTGTAAAGATTTTAACACATAGGTAAAAATTTGGCACCAAATCAAACAGATCCTTGGACCGTCTGATGAGAGCAACTAGGTCATATGATTTGATAGGTACTGATAGCTCTCGCTTTGGTGGAAACTTGAGAGACATGATCCGGTTTCCGATTGACACAATCTGAATCCTGCAATCGCAACACCACGTCTACTCAGGTTATCAACCAGGCAACCGTCTCCTCATGTTATAAACCGTGCGCTGCCCGGTTAATCTCACCAAGAAGGTTAATCCCTGCATGCGAATCGATGAACACAATAAAAAACAAGGTAGACAACAACTGAATTAGCATATTATGATTAAGCATTCGAAGTTGGGGTTGCACAAACTGAACTAGCGACGAAACTACGATGACAGAAATAACTAAGCAAAACCCAACTCTAAACGATAATGACTACTGAATAAATATGATTAGGGACGCTATAGGGTTAGACTTAAGGCGTCTATCTCTTGGATTTAGTCCACGACCTGATCATTACAAGACCCAATGCCTAAATCAGAGTCGGGCTGGATGAAATATGTGGCCTGTTTTACAGAGTCCCGACTACCGAGGAAGAATTTTAGCGTGGGACCAAAAACATATAAAATCAGACCCTATAATCTTTCTAGCAAGTACACATGGACTGTAGCGCCCGTTCCGTCGTGGCGCCTAGCGGGAAAATTAATTCCTAAAAACCCTAATTGCGAAATTTGTTTCTTCGCTTGTCGTCTAGTGTCCGTGCCATCTCAAGATCTCAAATCCCCGATCTATCGTCGAGTTCAATTCCGAATCCAAATCCTTCCAAATCAAATTCCTCCGTAAAAGTCTATTTTGACTCCCCCGGGGTCGATGGGCCGAATTTCGCTCGGCCCACCTTCTCCCCTCCCCCGGCGCGCTCCCGCTCTCCCTCTCCCTCTCTCGCCCTCTCCCCTCCCCCGGCGCACTCCCCCTCCGCTGCCGCCGCGCCGAGCGCCCCCCTTCCTTTCCCCTCGCTCCGCCCGCGCGTGCGCGAGCGCCGCGCCGAGCGCCCCCCCTCCCTCGCTCTCCTTCTCCCCATCCCTGGCAAGCCCTCCCCCCCCGCAAAGCCGGCCCTCGCGCGCCGTTGTTCGCGCGCGCGCCCGCGTGGTCCTCGCCCGCGCCGCGTGGTTGCCGCCCGGCCCCGCTGCCCTGCCGCGCCTGCAGCCGCTCGGCCCCGCAGCCAGCGCGCGTGCCCGAGCCGCGCCGCTCCATCCGCCGCGCCCTCCCGTTGTATCCCGCGCGCGCGTGCCGAGTGGCCGACCGCCCGGTCGCCGCCGCCGTCACCCTCTGCTGCGCCAGCCCGCGTCTGTCGCCCGTGTCGTCGCGCCGCTCCAAACCGCCCCGCCGTCATCGCCGTCGTCATCGCCCCGGCCCCGCCACTCCCGCGCTAGCCTCCAAGGGACGGAGGCAGAGCCTCCCTCCTCCCTCTGCCGCGACGCCCCCGCTCCCCTCCTCCTTTTTCCCAAATCGGCAAGGGGGCAAGCCCCTTTCTCCCCCTCCTTTTTCCCCTTTTCCTCCCGCCGGCGTCATCCTCCCTCCCTCCTGTCGCCGTTTTGGCCGCTAGCCGGAGCGCCAGCTCGCGCCTTGACCGCCAAAGTCGGTTTCCAAACCGACATTGCCGCCCCCTATAAACCCAGGCGCCCTCCCTTCCCCTTTTCCCCTCCCAATCTTCCCTGTTTCTCGCCCGCGCCATTGCCGTCCTTCTCGCCGACCGCAGCCGTCGCGTGTGTGCCGGAGGAGCCGGTGCGCACTAGGACGCGGAAGGGAACTTCGGCCGCGCCCTCTCCTTCCTCTTCTCCGGCCCGAGGCCGGAGAGATTACTCCCGCGCCATCGGCCTCTCGTCACAGCGCCCCGACCCGCACGGTAGTGCCCCTCTCCGTTCTTCCTCCTCGCTCCATCTCCCCCCTTAGTCTTCGGTGGTAGCACGAGTAGACTCCCCGTAGCTAGCCGGCGCCGCCCCAACCATTGCCGTCGCTCGCCGTGTGCTCGCCACCGTCGCCGCTCGAGCTCCGTAGCACCCGCACGTCGCCAGCCTCGATCGGCGTAGCTCCGCCCAATCCGACGCTAGCATCGGATTCCCGTGGCCGCGTGGATGCTCTCACCGCCGGGAATCGGCCCCTCGTGGCCTCGTCGCCGTTTCCCTCTTCCCTCCCCGCCGGTTGTCGCCGCCGCGATTCGCCGCCGTCAAGCTTCCTCCGGCGAATCCGAGCCGTTGGCTCGTCTCCCCTCGTCTCGTGCAACCACCCGGCGTGCTCGCTTTCGCCGGTATCGCCGTGGTTCGCTCCGCCGCTCGCCGCTGTTGTCCGCCGTCCGTTCCGGCCGGCGTCGTCGTCTACCTCCCGCCAGCCCACGTGGCAGCCACGTAGGCGCCACGTCGGCGCCAGCTCAGCCGAGGTCGGGACGGGCCGACCCCGGTCAGCCCCTCCCGTGCGCGCGTTCCACCGCGAGCCGTGAGGCTGCGCGTGGGCCCGCCGCATCCGTTCCTCCGCAGACCGCGCGCGTGCACCACGTCCCTCCCCCGCCCGCGCGCGTGCGCCGCGTGCTCCCTCCGCACGGTGAGCCGAGCCGCTGACAAGCGGGTCCCACCCGGGACCGCGCACGGTGAGCCCGGTCCACCGGCCCTCTCTCTCCTCCCCTCCCGCACGCGCGCACTTGGGCCGCCTTGGGCCGGCCGGCCCATTTAGCTCGGCCGGTCCGCTCCTTTTCCCTTGGGCCGCGCCCTAGCCGCCCGAGGAAAAGTCTATAATCCCTCCCTCTTTCCTTTTCTTTTCTTTTTCTTTTCCAAAAAGGATTTAATTAAATCCTTTTCCTTTAGACCAAAAATCCAATAATCTTAGAAATTCAATATCTTCCCAACCGTAAATCCGTTTGACTCCGTTCAACTTCCAAAATTCCTCAAATCTCGAGATCTATCTAATGGCACGCTTAGAGGTCATTAATAGGGCTTTATTTTCGCAGTTTGTTGAGTTGTCCCGTTTCGCGTGTAGTTTCGGAGCCCGTGTCACGCCCAGAAATTCTCGAACCAGAATTTCTAAGCTGAATGTGCATTAAATCCCTGTCCAGGACCAGCCAGGGTACACAAACGATAATTGTTGACATACAGATCCACGTCTTACAAAAATAGAAAAGATTACAAATGCAGCGGAAAAGATAAAAGCGAGCTAAACCGGGAAGCTTGACTTCAGCAGCGGGCGACTCCACTCCACAGGCAATCCTTGACGGCAGCGACGAAACCAACTTTGACAAAACAGCTCCAACTAGGAAGATCTTCAGCTCTGGTGTGGGGGAAAAGAGAGCAAGACTGAGTACTACCCACTGTACTCAGCAAGTCATACCGGAAGAGGAGGTATGATGCAGGATATAACCAAAGGAGGCTAGAGGTTCTTTTGCATAAAGCTAGCATTTAAAAGCAGTAGTTGAAGGCAGTAAAACAGTTGTAGTAATTAATCAATATTAACCAAACACTGTCCAACGCTACACCACGTT